ATTTGCTTGAAATTGTGTGATTCATAGGGGCCCATTACTGAGATTTATCATTTAGTTTAGGATAGACTGTGCAATTTTTCTTGTAATAAACTATACACATAATTAACCAAATTAAGGCAAGCAAAAACCAAGTTACTGCATATTCCAAATGTTTCATTGGCTGTATAGCTAATTTATTACTTAAGCTATCTTGCCATAATATGCACTTTTCTAGCTTTATACCCAATTCATTCGATATTTCTTCTGTATTAAATGTAAACCACATATTTGAAGATACATCATTTTTAATAAACCAATTTTTTTTGTTATCACAATATAATAGCCCTTCAGTCACTACTTTTTTCACCTTTACTTCCCTTTCTTTTTTCTCATTGATTATTCCCTTATTGATTAACATATAATTTCCAGTGGTGAGTAGCATAGGAGATAATATATAATACCCATGTTGTCCCGCAAAAACACATAGCTCTACATTACTTAATACTCCATCGATTTTGACATGCCGGTAGTTAAACTTTTCAAGATCATCATGAATTAACAGGTGTATTATTGGAAGACTCATACTTTTTATGATATCATTCTTCCAGTTCAACCTAGACACCTGCCATAATCCTAATGAAAAAAGAAGTGTGAAGATTAAAACAAAGACTATTCTTTTTAACACTTTATACTTGCGTTCTTAAATAATTTTCTACACCCATTAATGCGATAAGATCCATCTGTTTTTCAAGCCAATGAAGATGTTCTTCTTCATTTTTCAATAATTCTTCTAGGAGCATCACGCTAACAAAATCTTTTTCTTTTTCAGCAGTAAAAATTGCTTCTCTGATATCCTTTATACCCTTATCTTCTAATTTCAAATTAGCTAACAAAATTTCTTTTATCGTGTCTTTTGTGAAATTTTCATCATATTTTGATATTTCATTTGTATCCTGAAAATTTGGTATTCCTTTCAGTAATAAAATTCTTTCCGCTAACTTATGTGCATGTTCAAGTTCTTCATTAAGCTCATTTTTCATCTTTTCCGCAAGTTTATTAATCCCATGATTCTTAAGCACGGCAAAATGCAAAAGATATTGACGTACAGAAGTCAATTCATTTGTCAACAGTTTATTAAAATGTTCTAACATTTGTTTATTCATAATTTCTCTTTAGTTAAAATATAATCTATACAATATAGATTGTCATATAGCAATCATTTAACAGCACCCCTTACAACAACTGTATCAAATAACATATCATGAAACGTTTGTCTATTTTTAGAAAAACAAGCCACCAGATACCAACAGAGAGTTAGCAGCATTATAAAAACTTTCAATATATTCAAAACATTTACTAACGTATCTTGTTCTCCAGAAAAATCAGTCAAAGTGGCTATGACGCTATTGAATGAAGGAAGAAAAAACTGAGATATACTTCTATCAAATGCTAAATTTATATTTATCTTGGGATAAATCATGCTAATAGTGTATATATCCATCAGCCTCTGACCAGGAGTTGCCTGAGCATTCGCAGATATAAAGTAAGTAAAGTAACTACAATTTATACACATGCATGATAAATGAAAGATCAACGGAAAATCTCTTAATAATACAGTAATCAATATGGTTGGAATNCTTTTTTTACCTTTACCCCCCCT